CACCCTGTATTTGAATATGCTTTTTATCTTTCGGTACAGGTTCTATCGTATGGGGAAGTTGTATGCGCCATGTTTCGACAGGTATGTAATCTGAATCTGAACTATTTCGTAAAAGATTTTGAAAATGTTCCATATGTGTGTCTGTCAACCATTCGTCGTTGACAATTATATTTCTGTCTGCAAGCTTCAAAGTTATATGTTTTTTTATATGCACAGACATATTTCCTGTCAAAAATTAATTTTTTTTCTATAAATTGTTTTTTTTTACTATAATAAAGCGAATAAATTCAGCGCATATAGCAGCTATAATATTTATCAGAGCTATGGGAGCTATCAATGAAATACAGCGCTTATAGCAGCTACACAGCGCCAATAAGCAGCTAATGCATATACAGGGTGTACATAAAGTACTGGGACGGTTGAATAACTTTTAGAAAAATTAAAATTTCGAAAAACGCTGAAACACGTCAAATGAGTTTTCAAAAAATCTATCTTTTGCGGGGGGTTGCAGCCCCCCAACCCCAAGGGGGTGCGGGGGGCGCGAGGGGGGAATAAATTCTTAAATGGGAAGGGGGGTCGAGTGGGATCGTTTGAAAGGTCTTTTCGAGACGAATTCAAAACACTATGCATAGAGGGCGCTGCGATCATTTTTCGCAAAAATATTTGAGTTTTAAGATTTCTAATACCACCGGCATTAGCGTTACCCAATGTACACCACGTGGAGGTTGCACGGTTGGATTTTGTACATCTCGTAGCCCTGAAAAGAGGGCTAATTTTATGTATTCGCAGCTTTGAATGATGTTTCCATTAATATTAAGCCAAAACGATTGAAAATCCAGCCAGATCTAACCCCTTGGTGTATACGATATTTTACATACACAATAACACAGGTGTGATAATGAACCATGACCAAGACCAAGATCCATATCTAAGTACATTTGTAACAGTAAGACCAACTTCGAAGTACATCACCAAAACCAAGTCCATGACCAAGACCAATTTCAAAACCAAGAGTAAGTCCAAGAATAAGACCAAGTCCAAGACCAAGGCCAATGTCGCAGTACTTCCATTTGGATGCACATTCATACATGCAGTAGCAATTTCAGTATCGCTTGGAAACAAGGTACTCCGTTGAACATACCTACGTTTACTACTTTTAAGAATTGTTAATTGAAAATTACTTTGAATATTGATTAATGTAGCGATTAGATGTCGAGTAGATAATACGTATTTGGTCCAACATTGGCTGCGTTCATATTGAATTATTCTACGTACTATTTTATCGATTTATTTATTAATGTTATTGATGTTGTTATTTCGTACTATCCGCCATAATGCAATATCTTCCTGAAAGAGAAAGAATAACGCTTCTCATGATGAGAGGCTGGGATGATTTAAGGCAATCGTACATGCAAGTAAAGGAGCGTTTCAACGAAACATTCAGAAATGGGTTGACTCCTATTTCAAAATCTACCGTCGAACGAACGATTCGGCGGTTCAATGATACTGGCAGCGTGAAAGATCGACCTAAAACGGGTAGGCCAATGACAACAACAAATTTTGACAATTCATTGAATGTTTTATTGTCATTCATTGATGATCCGCATAGTTCAACCCGTAAGGTCTCTCAAGAACATGAAATAAGTACAATGTCTGTTCATAAGATATTGAAAAAAAATGGATTTCACCCGTACAAAGTTAACCTTGTTCACGAGCTAAATGAAGACGATTTCGATAGACGCGTTGAATTTTGTGAGTATATGATGTCACGAATCGATGATGACCACAACTTTCTATCGAGAATAGTCTTCTCGGATGAAGCAACATTTCAACTAAATGGGACTCTGAATAGGCATAATTGCAGATATTGGGAAACTACAAATCCTAATTGGATGAGAGACAATAGAACACAATATCCGGAGAAACTGAATGTTTGGGCTGGCATATTAAGAAATAGAATTATAGGACCGTTCTTTATTGATGGTAATTTGACTGCTGAAAAATACGAGGACATGCTCCGGAATCAAATTGTTCCCGTAATAAGAGAAATTTCTGGTGAAAACTTCGAACACATATGGTTTCAACAAGATGGAGCTCCGCCCCATTATGGACGAGATGTTCGAGCATATTTAGATGAAGTTTTTGTTGATCAGTGGATAGGACGGAGAGGCCCGATTGAATGGCCGGCAAGATCACCGGATTTGACTCCGCTCGATTATTTTCTTTGGGGTTTTGTAAAAGATAGAGTGTACAAAACTAAACCTCAAAATTTAGCAGAATTACGGCAACGAATAATTGACGAAATTTCTCTGATTCCGCCTGAAATAATCGAAAATGCCATTAACGCTTTTTATCAACGATTAGCTTACTGTCAAGAAGTAAACGGACAACAATTTGAGCATTTGTTCAGTTGATGACATTTGTGGCTGGATAGTTGCGTTGTCTTGCC